TTAAAGCTCAGAATGGCACTGTAACTGTTATGGACAAGCGTGTAGCTTACCATCAGACACGCGACATTTTCGTCCCTTCACTTGATGTTAGAAAAAAAAACAATGAAGTGCATTGTTCTAGCTGATATTCTGCCATGACCCTTAATGGTCAGGAATACACATAAATATTTATAACTAATCATATAGGACACATACAGCCATAATATTACAGTAATAATGAAAATGCACAATATCATTATAATTCCAAATTATTAAAAACCAGTATAACAACACACAAGGTACGAATTATAAGAAACCTTCACCCCGTGATTGCTTGTCAAATAGCCATTGTGAGCATTTACGTTTGAATGCCCGTATAAAAATACCGCCGCTCTTACGAGACGAGGTAGAGAATTCCATATTTTAGATGAGCCATATTTGAAGCAACCACAGGCTACAACGAGTGACATAATCGGCTTCCTAATCATGACACCCTGTCGCGCAGTCTGCGTGTTTGCGTTACAAGTTTACTGCGTAGTTACCATAATATCTATGGTAGTTACTTTATTTATTTTATTTTTATTTTATTATATTTGGGGAGCTTACAGCTACTTTTACAATATAGATTTACATAGGCATTCCTTTTTTAAATAAAGAATATAATAATATAAAGAAGAAAAGGAAAAGCCAAAGTTATTCAGGGCACAAGTCTGTAGGCAGGGAATTCCACTCCATAGCCGTTCGCCATATAAATGTGGAAGCATAACGCTTTATGCGAATCCTTGGAATATTCACAACATAGAAGTGGACCGTGGAACACCTGCCTATGTCGGATTCCTTGATGATGGAAAGGGAATGACGGAATTAAATTTCTCTCTCACTATCCGTGATATGTCCTGTGAAACAGATGATTCACTCTAATGTTAAAACTTATTCTGGCCGTTTAATTTTTTTTCTACAGAATATCATCATACTTGACTTTCGGGTTAACTTGCTGCTAGTAAGCTACTTGCACTTGTTTCCTACTTGCATTAGCAGCGATAGGTTGCAGGAGGAAGTCAACCGCTTCAGGGAGCTACTGTCCAGCAGCCTTAATGAAAACCAATTAGGTATATTAACACTCTTTTTATTGTATTCGAATCAGCAAACAGTCCAGAGACAGACAAACAATTGCAATATTAACGGCACTGTAGTTTTACTTTGCGGTAGAATTAGTTTGGGCCGAAGTGCCTATTATTTAGGTATGGAGGAATATGATCAAATATACATATAGCATGTACTAATGTAGTAACTACTCTATTCCAACTACTGGACGATTATGGACAAGTAAACATTACTAGTAATGCTCCCTCCATATCGTCTCATATATATTGTATTGTTATAGCATAATAAGTGTATTGATTGCTCAATTGAGCTTTGCATGTTTTTGTATAAGTGATTTTAAATATAGAAACCTCCATTCCAGATCGTCCAAGCCGCGGCACTGCGCGCACGTTACTAACTCTGACAAAAACTCGCAACCTGTCTTTCTCACTCCTCAGAGTTCTGGATATCTCTGTTTCGCTCCCATTCTCATTTTTGGGGTTGATTCTTACCTATCTCATAATTTTGTTGCAATTTAAGAAAGTTTTACAATCTTAAATATTGAATAGTCACGTAATTTAAATACATAATATTGAAGTGTCATTGATCCAATTATACAGTCATTATCAACTCATTTATATGGCCACTGCTGGGCACGGATCTCCTGCCTTCACACGTTTTCCGAGTGTTGTGAACCTTCTTCGACATGCAGGTTTCATCGCGAGGTTTACCTTTTTCGTGATTTGCAAATTAAATTTCGCACATAAATTCTGAAAAACACAGAGGTGCGAGCTTGTATTCGAACCCACGGCTTCTGCTGAGAAGAGGTAGGTGAAACCATTAGGCCACGCTTTTTACAAGTTAAAAGTACTTACAATAATAACGCATAGAAACCTAGTCCGCACACGCTAAGTGAGGCAAATTGAAGCGCGCCAAAAGGGCCTACACGAGCGGGCGGGCCTTCAGTGCTCAAGGTCAACTTACACCGCGAACAGCTCAAGAATTTTGGCTAAAAATGACGAAATGTGCGGTAAGTGAGTGTAAAAAATACGTCAGACAAACATAAAATGGATACTAACATCACATTCCACAAGGAAGTAACGCGTTTCAACTTGTATTTTTATATAAATATTCACTAAAACCGAAAATTAACCTACTACTAAAACTAGCCTACATGAATTTGATTTTTGCCTCACTTGTGACAGTTCGTTTGATATGAAACTATCATTCTATGCGTTATTATTCTAAGTATATATAGTACAAAACAAAAATGCTCGACTACGTTTCAATCAAACCTGGCGATTGAATTTATGAAATAAATATTATTAATCTGTGAAAGAAAATATCTGATTAGCCGTAGAATGCACCATTTTGTATATATTGACTTTAAGGTTTTTGGTCAATGTAATTTTTTTGGTTTTCTATTTACGTAAGTATGATTATATTAGAGAATATTTATTCGGATTTTAGTTTTGGAGCTAAGTTGTATATTTTAAACAACTGGAGTCATGTGCATATTAATGTTAATGTCACAGAACTATTAAAATAATATTAATATTTTAAGTAATAATGGGTTGGAAAAAAAACTGTGTAGTTTTCGTTAATAATAATAAAAAAAAAAATATATTTTAAATGTTATATTGTTTATGATTATTTTAAAAATAATTTTATAGCGCGTATTTTAAGAATACGCGGGAAAGTTTTAAGTTAACAGATGAATAATGTTTAGAAGTGATGAATCGTAAAAGTGTTGTATTTCCTCATCTTATAGGATGGAAAAAAATAAATTCCTCATGACACTGCCAAACCATCCTTTATGGCCAAACCCATTGACCACACAATTAACTATTGTTTTTTTAAATTTATTTCATGACCATGAATACAAGTCCTTCAGTCGAAATATTAGAGAAAATGAAATAAATTTTTTCTACAGTATTTACGATGACTTTAAATACAACTACTTTTTCTAGTTTATACTTCGGTGCCGTACGATGTTTTTGGCCAACCCAGCATATAAAATATGGAGTAACGTTCTGACACCTACATTAATCTAAATGAATTGTGTTTACGATGTTTTGGTTTGGTGTTGTACATAATAAGTATCTATTTACAGTAAGTTTAAATTTTATTCAATGATAGTAAAATAAATGGTGATTTCAAATTGTTTTTGTTTTACATAGTACCTATATGAACTAGCAAATAGTCATCTATTTCACCTGATGGACTATACTGCACTGTGGCCATTTCTGATACTAACAAATTCTTGTAAGTCGTGGTGTTACGTTAAATCTCTTGTACCTGTAAGGGACTCAGGACATAAGGATTTTTCTGGCTCAAGTCGCGTCAATAAGTATGGTAAGCCGATTAGTCGTAATAGTCGTTTTAGGGCATAGCGTCGTTGGGGCATGGACGCGGGGTCGACGCAAACGCGAGAGTTGACGTCTGCGTAAAGATGCGATCGGAAATTTGGAGGTAGCAGATTTTATTTATTTGTTTATTTTCAGGTTACAAAAGACCCATAAAACACATACATTATAGACTAATAATAATAATAAAATAATAAAAATAATAATAATAATATGATATAAACAATTTGTTTATTTACACGTATGGACCTCGACGTGTGACGCAACGTGGGTGTCCGATAGCTGTCCTCGGAAACGCCGGAACATGACTCCCTTCGGCCAAAACTCCTCCTTCATGAAGGTCGACAGATGTTGTGTTGGTACTCTCACCACAAATGAATTAAAATTCACCTTGTGGCGGGACTCCAACTGCTCGACCCTCAGGGCAGCTTTGGCAGAACCCTGACGGGGACAATAGGGCAGGACCTCTCGCTGCCGAGCGTGGTTGCCGCCATGCTCGGTAGCGAGGAGTCCTGAGAGGCGGTGGCCTCCTTTTGCGGAGAAGTTATGTCGCAAAAGGAGGCCGCGGAGCGGGTGCGCGTCTGCCGCGTCCTCGCGCACCCGCTCCGCGAGACGAGGACTTCGGCGCAGACGTACTGGGAGAAGGCGAAGGCAGTTCGCTGCTCGCCTGATCCCCTAGTGAGGCTAGCGGGCTCTGGACAGGGACTTCGGAGCCTGCATTGCACGGCCTCACTCGTCTGGGGGGCGGGTCGGAGGACAACTGACCTGCCCCTCCGTTGGCGCGGGAGCCCTGGCGCAAGCTAGGGCGCCGGGCAGCGTCGTGGTGAATGTGCACCGACCCCACGGCGCCGACTAAACCGGCGGGAGGTAAACCCGGGGGGTAGGCCCTCCAGTATGGAGAGAGAGTCCCCACATAACCCCTGAGTCTCCCTGGGCTCAGGGGTATCTATAAAGATTTCCCACCGTAAAAAAAAAAGAAAAAAGGCAGCTTTGGCATTCACCCGTGTGTACTCAACAATATCCGGAGACTTCGTGGAGTAATGAAGTCGTGACACGTATAGCAATGTCGTCGGTACCGCTGAACGCAATACATGGTTGGGGCCAGTCGGGGCGGTCCCACTAAGGTTGTGACCGTGTGACCTCCTTACACCGTCATCTCACCTTTTTGTATCGCCTCTCTCCGCTTGTATCCTATCATTTTTTTATTTTACATGTATTTAAATTTTAAATTTGAATTGTTCCATCTTCCTCCACTTTCTCATTTTGTTTTCGTACCACGGGCACTCCCAGCTCGACCGCCACAACAGTCGGAGTTTCAAATTCCATCGCGTATAATCGCTAATTTTGGTTCTTTACTACGTTTATAATCATTAAATAAGCTAAATCATGTGTAATAATTTATAACAGTCTACAGCCTTCATGTACCTATATCTGTAATTCAGTTACTCGGTCCATTTAGTGCCTTTTCTTTTAACTTTACTTCTTTAATAAATTTTGTGGATCGGAAGTTTCCCGTTTCATTGCCGTGAACCTGTTCACGGCTAGTTAGGTTTACAACCCTTTCAAGGTTACGGCTAGTGTACTTCTTTTTCTTTTCCACCTTTTTGAAGCCGTCCCCGTCGCACTGATCTACTCCTCTCGGTGGTACTGACGACACAGCTTCAGAGATGAGTTTCCGCTTTTTCATCTTCCCCTCCGTTGGTTGCCTGGGTTGTGGAGCAGTGGGTTGGGTAGCAGCGGCAACAGCAGCGTAATCACGTTGAGGGGTCAACGTGCTTGAAAAACGAGGGGCGGGGCGCGGGGAAACGCGCGCTGCGACAACGGCAGCGATCGGTGACACATCCATATGAGCCGACTCAAAACTGCCGAGAGATGCGTTTTGCTCCCCGCGATAAGTATTCATGTTGCAGGCCTCGGGTGACCTACTTACAGAAACTGCACTACTAAGTAACACAACTTGGGCACGTAAATCATTGATGGTGTTCTCCGAGGCCTCCAATTTATACCGAAATTCAGCAAGGTTTGCTTTTAGGGACGTGATGTCCTTCAGTAGCCTGGTGACGTCGACATGCTCGAACGTGGTAGGGGGCAGCTTGTGCAGCTCCTTCGCCACGAAAGCAGGCACGTCGTCTGGGTCGGTTTCCTTAAACAGCGTAATGATGACCTGGAGACTCTTCGTTCCTCCATCCGTCCGGCGAGATGGCATCTGCTGCGGAAAAGCAGCGTTTTGCCACTGCAAACCGCTTCTTCTTTGAAGTTCGACTCATCCATAGTGTCGATGGCGTGTTGGATGAACGTGCTGACGTTCATTGGTTATGAGTTGTTGAGAACCCATAGTCAATTACGTGCAGCGGCTATTGCCGCGCGGATCGCGAATTATTATAATTCTTACTGTGTAGTGGAGCACGTCCGAATCCAAGCGTGCACCGCACCGTATTTTAGTAGCAATAGACCTCCTTGTGAAGATCGCCCGGCGAAGTACTGCCACCTTACATGTTTCTGCCACCGAGTAATAATGTAAACATTACTGCGTTCCGGTTTGGAAGTGAATGGTGCTTGTGAAATTACAGGCACATGGTAAGATCTTCACGATTTAAAGCTCCGAGTGGCACTGCAACTCTGTCGCTTACCACCAGGCGCACTACTTGTTCGTCCCATCATTTGGTATTATAAAAAAAACTTACTGTCAGTAATATAAGTTTATAATAGGGGTTAAAGTATGAAATTGCCGATTTGTACTGAAAA